TTTTTTTTTTTTTTTTTTTTTTTTTTTTTTTTTTTTTTTTTTTTTTTTTTCTTTCTTTCTTTCTTTCTTTCTTTATTTATTTATTTTTGTGAAGGTTTTCTATAAATATTATCCAGAAGTTGTATCAACTTGCCTATCTGTTGGGTTTCAAGGAAGGCTTTGCGACGTCAAGAGAAAAGGGAGGCTACAATATCTCCTCGCAGTGTCATGAACCTAAGCTCGAGGCATCACAATAAGGTATGAGGTAGTAAAGACTAGAGTGTCCTACCTTTCTGTTAATCAACGGCGTTCTGTTTGGGCCGAGTATTTCGTGCTGGAATGGAAGATGATAAGAGGGGTTAATGGGCTGTGCAACATAGCTTCAAAGCGTCCATGTGTTTATCTAATAGATAAAATACTACTAATGCAATTTTAACCGTTTCTTAGACCAGCAAAGTGTTCAAGTAACAATTCTCATCTATTTTGTTACCCTGAAAATATACTGCAGTTCATATTCATGGGTTGCCAGTCAGCAACAATGCCTTTTCTCTTATTATTTCTGAAAATTGGAGTAAGCAATGTGAACAGTCCAAATCTTCTGACAAATATCCTTTTGTTGAAAAGCTCTGTCAATCTGGATTAAATCGCCTTGGACTTCAATCTTTGCAGTATATGGATTATAATGAAATATGGATGCACAATGAGCCTTTTGCTGTGTGCATACTAAGTACTTGTCGCTGTTATATAGGACTGATGATACAGTTAGTATCACATTTTTTTGTGCCTTCTTATCATAGAATGTTTATTTAATGTCTTTTGAAAAAAAAAAAAAAAAATGCTAGATGGAGATCCTCCATAACCTCCTCCCCTGCCCCTCACCTCACTCAAAACCTCTGATATTAATGGAAATGATATGTATTTTTATGTGAATTTTTCTTGTCAAAATTATGTCACTGGCTCTTAATATTTCCCAATGTAACTAATAAATCTTATGCAGGGACTTATTTTGGCCTTATTGGTCTCCGAATTTTGATCATACCTACAATCGCTAGGAAAGTTGTTGCGGCATAAGATTTATTAGGAGAAAAGGTGTAACGACCCAGATCCACCGCTAGCAGATATTGTCCTCTTTGGGCTTTCCTTTTCGGGTTTCCCCACGAGGCTTCAAAACGCGTCTGCTAGGGGAAGGTTTCCACACTCTTATAAAGGGTGATTTGTTGTGGGACATCACAAAAGGTATTACATACTAGCCAATATAGCATTTTCTCCGAATTTTGATCTAAGAGATAGTTTTAGAGCTGNTTGTTTTTTTTTTTTTTTTTTTTTTTTTTTTTTTTTTTTTTTATTTTTAAATCAATAGTTATGTATGCTTATCCGGAATTAGAGAGAGATGCCATTTTATTTATTTCTTACTTTTTATATTTTCAACAGGAAGTATTTAGATAGCTTTTTGGCCTTATTCAGTTGAGATTTGAAATAAAAGTTTCAAGTGATATTGCGTTGAATTTAAAAGGTTCAAAATTTTGAAAAGGGTTTTGATCGTTACATCCCAGATGTCAATTTTGATACGAGTGCTTTAGGAGCGAGCATACTTACATGGTCCCCTCACCCACCCACCCCCCTACTTTTTGTATTTAAATATTTTATTTATTTATTTATTTATTTTTATTATTATTATTATTTTGTATATTTTAAATATAGTTTATTAGATTCGTTAGACTAGTTTAAGCTTGTTTGCAAAGTTGATTTCTTTGTAGAAATATTTTCAAGCTCATTTAGTGTTCTTAGAATCATTTAGCTCATTTCTATCCTTGTTTGATAAATATGTCATTGTTTTAATTAAATTTATAAACACTATGTCCTTTATATGTAATTCTTATCTGTTATCTACTTTTTTACAAATGTTTTTAAAATTCAAGTCAAGTTTGGAAAGCTAAAAAAGTAAATTTTAAAATTTGTTTTTTATTTTTGAAATCTAACGGAAAATTCAAACGTTTTCTTTAAGAAAGATAGAAAACTAAATGGTTATCGAATGTATTTGTACTTGGTTTTATGTAGTCCAAGGCTTTTACAAAGTTGTTTGTTGGATATGGGTTGGTGGCCGTAGCGGCAAGGTGTCAAGGTGAGGATCAATGTTTTTTTTTTTTTTTTTTTTTTTTTTTTTTTTTTTTTTTTTTTTTTTTTTTTT